CGGCATCAAGGTTCGGAGACACAAAGACCGTTTTCTTGGTGACCATCTTTTTGAGAAAACTTCGCCCATGATTGAATTCATTAAAAAAGATTTTCGAAGTGTTATACGCCGGTGCTTAATCGCCATATACATTTTTGTAAATTTGTAAAAAATTTAGACTTCTCCCCTTAAAAGGATTTCCTTTTCTATTTTTATATTTAAACCCAAATCCAATTAACATCCTTGTATCCAGTTATCATCACCTATTATAATATTTTCCATAAATACTTCCTCTGTGTCTTCCAACACCACTTCCAGCAAAAAAATCTACAAATTTATGGGAAATTTTAATAACATTTTAACCTTTTTTTCATAAATTTCACACAGACCTTTTTTTGTAAAACATGCAAGGATGTACCGGCAGTAGCTAATCTTCTAAATTATAGGACTTCCGTTTGCAAATAAGTGAAGAAGTCAACGGAAGTTGTTTTGCTGGCCCAATGCATGCAGTAGTACCAAACTCACACACATGCACATACATGCACACATGATGGGAAATTGTGTGAGAGTTTTTTACATGTGTTCTTGTAGTGGAAGAAGATAAAAAAATATAGTGTAAGGGCTTGTTACAACTTCCTGGGCAGAATAATGATTTCATTATGGGTAGTTTGAGAGCTACATATTATTAAATCGTAGGTTGAGTGAGGGATACAAACATAAGTGGGACAAAATACGGAAATGTAATGGGGCGTTGCTGTTTGTTCCTCAAGTAACCAACATTCCAAAAAATACCTCAGGTGAAAGGATGATTTTTTTTCATTTTATTTTTTGTTTCACCTGTTCTGACTGGCTGGAGGTGGTATTTTTTTCTTTTAAATATTGTAGGCATATTACCGGCGAATAATTTATATTTCATTTCTTCTGTTTCTTGGGGAGAGGTAATGTGGGTGCGAACCACTTTTTGCCATTTTCGTTTTATTTGCCAGTCATTTTTGCAAGCCTCACTTTTATTTTGACTTGTCTGAAGCCAGTTTCCCTCCTTTTACCATTTGTTCGCTGGTCTTGTTAAAGTACCCACGTCTTTTTTCTGTTCTTGTCCGAAGGTTCTGCCATGTTCTACCCATTCAGGCGTAAATTGTTTGATATTACTTCCGTGTTCTATGAATTATGTCTTTTGTACGATGATATTATGTTTCTGGTCTTCTAGCTTTTTCGTTCTAGCTGTTTTTTGTTCTTGTTGTTTTTGTTCTCAACTTAGGAGGGTGTACCAACAAATGGCTAATTGAAATGAAAATGATGAAAGTGTAAGCAGTAAACAAGTGAGACTTATATGAAGATAAAAACAATCTGATGATAACAAAAACAGACGCCATATGTCCTTAATTCCTACTAATGTGATGTAAATAAATCTGCTGTTGCTGTCGTTGTTGTTGTTATTGCTGTTTAACAAATGTTTTTACGTATTTTTATAGCAAACTCATTGCAGGATGTTTTATATTAAAATCATAACCGAAAATGAGGAAATATTATATATTAAGTATTTAAGTCACGTAGGGAGACAAAAGATAGAAGAGGTAGGGAATTCAGGGAGATAATTTTATTTAATTGTTTTTAGGGAGATCTATAATAATTCTTATAAGGCAGTTTAGGATTTATGGCTATATTTTCAACTATGGAAATTACAATCGCAGAGAAAATTTAGATACAAATCAGCGCCTTGTGGTAGACATTCAAAAAAATAAATTCATAAAAATTCACGTGTTATGGTAGACCTTCAAAAAATTATTTAAAAATCCACTTAGAACTTAAAAATTAATGGTAAAAATCCACGCCTTGTGATAGACCTTAAATTAATTTAAACCCAGTAAGGAAAGAGTAAAGACGGACGGGGCCGACTATATGATACACTTCACCACTTTGGGTATATTCAAAAGATGAATCCTAACAGACGTCGCATTTTTGAATGACCAGTGAAATTGGATCAGATATAGATTTGTTTCTTACCATGGACAAAATGTTGTAAATCAACCCGTTAATTATTTTGATAAATATGTGATAAACATGAGCACTTTGGTGAACATATATCTAAATCTGAACCGATTTCAATGAAATTTAGCAAAGATTAATTTATATTAACCAGAGATTAATTATTAACTTCATTGTACAAAATTGTGTGGCAATTTAACAAAATTTGGGTCTTTAGTGCACAATTTACATTAAATCGGACGAAAATATATATGGGAGCTATATGTAAATCTGAACCTATTTTCATGAAATTAAATACACATCGTTGTAGACTTTATTCAGTACGCTATGCCAAATTTCGTGCAAATCCAAAGTTATATAGGAACTTTAATGCAGCATTTACATAAAATCGGACGAAAATATATATGGAAGCTATATATACATCTGAACCGATTTTCAAGAAACTTAACATACATCATTGTGGACTTTATTCAGTACGTTATGCCAAATTTCGTGTACATCAAAAGATATATAGGGACTTTGGTACAACATTCACCTTAGATAGACCTTAAGAAATGTATTAAAAAAAGTCCACGCTTTTCTAAAAAATTCTCGTCTCCATCGTTTGTGATAACCCTTAAAAATAATTTGAAAAATATCCACGCCTTGTGGCAGACCTTAAATATTAAGTTAAAAAAATCAGGCCTTGTGGTCGACATTAAAAATAAGAGCCTATCAAATTTCTTCTTTCAATAAAAGGCCCTTTAAGGTTCTTTTCTCCATAGAATGACTCTCAGGTGCCTTCAGTCCATTGAAGTGAATTCGCCTGTAGAAGAACTATAAGACCTTTGTCTTCTATATTTTCCATTTAAAATAACATCTTTAGTCTTTTTTTCAATCCATTGAAGATCGTCCTGTTCAGTATTGTACTTCTAAGAGTTATTTTATTAATGTATATCTATGACACCCATCTGATAGCCTACTAACGATCTTTTTTCTATGAACACCCCAATAAAAGACACTTTAGAGGTCTTCCCTTCACAGATTGTATCTGTCCTCAAAAGTCATCCATTTATACAAGACCTGTCAGACTTCTAGAAGGTATTCCATTAAACGAAAACGAATCGATATTACCTCTGTAAGACCTCTGAAAAGTCTTTATGGAAGACTTGATAAATGTATTATATAGGCACCAGCGAAGTGAGGCACCATCGAAATTCTCATGCAGTTTATGTCGTTGGTCAGCTAAGTACTTCGCTTTGTTACAAGAGACATTTGGGTATGAAAGGTTTTTTGTATAGAAGCAATAGCTTCTGGGGAGAATATCCCAACAAAAAACTGAGGGAACTGATGAGGATCAGTGGCGTGATCCGAAACTATAGTCTTCCCTGCCTTACCCCTCGGCAAACAATGCCATACTTTCCCCACTAATAAGTATTTGTTTTTTTATAGAAACAACAAACTGGGATTCAACCTGACTATTTTGCAAAAACAAAATACAAATGGTATCCCAAATAAACCGCCAACACTTCTCAACATATATTTTATATATAGAAGGCATTTCATACATCTTCTACCTACAAATGACCATTCAAAAGCCTGATGTCGTATTGGGATTTTGTTTAAGTAAAATTCTTCCTGAGTGATAGAGACTTTCAAGAATCTTTTATTAATAAAATACCTCTCGAGGATTTGACCTCTTAAATGTATTCCATTAATGGACTTGTTCTCAAATGTTTTCAATCTATATAATCTCGTTCAAATATATTATATGTATAAAAAGGCCATAAAGGATCTTCCATCTACAACTGACTCCTAAAATGCTTTCCCTTCAAAAGTTTTAAGTCCTTCTGTATGCGACCTCTTGAAGCTCTTTTGTCTAAAGAAGATTTATTAAAGGTATTCTATTGAGCGAGTCCTATAGTAATCTTATCGACTTATATCGATAAAATGCCCTTCGAGCGTCTTATATGTTAAATTTTTTCGTACACCAATAAAAGACCTATCAGGCTCTTAAATTTTCTCTATCTACAGAAAATTCTCCAAATGTATAGGAGGCCTATCACAAGTCGCCCATATATAAAAGACCCTCAAAAGTCTTCCGCCTGATGAGGATAATTTTTAAAGTCTTCAATCTATATGGACTTCTTGAAGGTGTTTAATTTGATGAATGTATTTTTAACGTATTCTATATAACAAGATTCTTAAAAGACCCTTCGATGGTGAAATTTCTTAAATTCTTAAATGTTTTCAAACTATATAACCACGTTCAAGTATACTCTATATATGAAAAGCCTATCAACGATGTTCCATCTATAAATGACCCTTAAAAGACTTTACCCACAAACGTTTTTAAGACCTTCTCTCTTTAGAATAACTCACTAATGTCTTCTACACTTTTTATTGCGAATTTCAACATGAAGATGTCATCAGAGATCTCCTCTGTATATTTTCTATTCTTCTGTTTATAATTACCTCATTAGCCTGCCCCCCTTCCCCTGGGAAGATTTGGCTTTAATTGGATTTCCATAATATTGTTAATCTTAGCTCAGAAATTACCTTAATAATGTATTACACTTTCTCTGGAGTGCTATCAATAACTCTGCCATACATAAGGTGTTGGGTGTCATATTAAACTTCCCCTACTCCCAATAGGTGTTACATAAATATTTTCCATACAAATCTGATTGCAATTAATGGATGGAAATAAATTTTAATTTCATACATACGAATATATAAATCTGTATGTTATCGGCGTCATTTCTTTTTGGTCCATATACATTTACTCTTACCTTTGTTTTGTTGTTTTTGTTTTTTTTCTGATCCCATGCCACCATTGTGACGTATAATTTATGTGGTTGATTCCCAAAACGAAATCACTCATACGTCGTTGTACCCATTTGAAATGGAAAGTGAAAACATTCGCTCCCTTGTTCTCTTTGTACCCTCTCGTAAAACAAATAAATTTGGAACATTTAAATTTATTGAAATTTTGTTGTGTTCTGTTGGGTTTTATATTTTATGTCATTTCGTTGTTGTTTTATTTTTTTTTTCAGATGAATCCATATTGTCGGAGGATCCAACACCTGCCGAAACAACGCATCATGTCAGCGGTAATGGTGTTGCAGCCAGTGGTGCCGGTGCCAGTATAGGCGGTGGGCCCGAAAAACAATCAACACTATTACTATTGGCGGCCGTTGTGGCTATTGGAGCGGTTATTGTGACATCAATTATTGTGGCCGGTATTGTGGTCGTTTGTAAACATCGGCCACGAGCACCTCAGCCACAGGATGTACGAAAGAGTATGAGGTATGTAAAATTGTTTATACCCACATATAAATTAGTCATAAATTATTCTAAAAACAAGCCAGAAACAGAAACATGTGTGATAACTAGTTACCACAAGCACTTAGCAAGCCTCTGAATAACGGCCCTTAAAAAAGGACCTTCCATCATATGTGAAAGGTTGCTCCAAGTGTTGAGCAAAACAAGAACGCCCACAATTCAACCTTAAGTTGATGATTGAGATTTGTGTATTTTAGTTTGAAGTTCCCTTACTCCTCTTCTTTTCGTCTTTTTAAGTGCCTTCATAATGACTAATACATATGTATGTATGCGTCTGTATTCCTCAATGTTATTTATAACCCTGTTTTTATAATTGCCTCTTTGAATTGGAGGCAATTTCCATTTTTACTTTGCTTGTTTGTAGTTAATGGGTATTTCGTTTGTTCCTACGTTTTTCGGAAGTAAGTCGTCATCATCAGCAGGAGTGGTTGGTCTGTTTGCTAACTTCTTCTCCCCTTCCGCTTTCCACTCCACAATATCTAGCATAATGAATGTTAGCAGGACCTGCCAAAGCATATGAGTTAAATTTGCAGGTTTTTTCCCTGGGAGTCTTACAAAAATTTGCAATTCAAATTTTGTCTGTTATAAATTTCATTCGGAGGTAGTAGCAAAAAATAAAATACCAAATGTGTGGTCCAATTTATGCAAAGAGTGAAGATGACTTGGTTTTTGCTGTAATTATTCCCAACGCCAACCCCCAACCCCACCTGTTTTCATTGAAGAAGTCAAATAATAACTTCAACACATTTGATTGTCTTTGCCAGGTTATTTGCATATGTGTGTGTGAGAGTGAGTGTGTGTTTGTAAATGGCAAAAGGTGTTTATTGTTCCATTATTACGTTTGGTGGTGTGTAGATAAGAAATAACTTCATTTAAATCATAAACATTAAATACAATGCTTGGTGGCAATAACAACAAAAAGGGGGAAATGTTCTGAAAGGTACTTGAAGGGCCTGTCTATGTGTGTGACATGTTCTCGAGGATATTAAAATAATTATTTCCTTAAGAAGTTCTTAAACAATTTAAGACACAACTGGGAAAAGTGATAGTCCTTAAATGTCATTTAAGACATATAATTTATATTTGTACAATGCATCACTTTTTTGTACACTGAAGCACCTTAAAAAACCCCCCATAAAATTTTTCCGTAAATAAAGAAGCAATGAAAATCTTACATGGCTACGAAAATATTTTAAATACACACATCCTTTGATTTATCGGAAGAAACTACATTTGAAAAATTGCTTTAGCATATAAAAGAGCCTTGGCAATCCTAGCTTAAACCCCAGCACAAAACCCAGCACAAACCAGTCCTTTTATTGATCTTATCGAAAAAATCGAACATAAGGACCACACATAATCTGACAGATTTTTTTTTTTTTGGAGTTTTTTGACATTTTTATATGCACAAGTACTTTCATTAGACCAATAGGTCTACTAACCTAAAAAAATAATTTTGATTGGAACGAAACCTTCACAAATATTCTTCTTCTAGTAAGCTTTTCAAGGACCTTCTATCAATGAAACGCCCTTCGAGCTTCTGATATGTATAAATTCCTCTGAAATATCTTATGTCCATTGAATTGTCATACAGCACTAGAAGACCAATCAGGCTTCTTAAATGACCCCTATCAATATGAACCCTCCCCAAATGTATTTTATATATTAAAGGCAATTCACAAGTCTACTGTCGATAAATATCCCCTTCTGTCAGATGGGGATCATTTTGAATGGAAAATTCGCCTTGAAGGAATTTAGTCTGAATAATACATTTCAAAGGTATTCTCCCTATAGTAAGACTCATGGGTTTTATATTCATAAAAAAAACTCCGCTAAGACCTCTTTAATGTCTTCCATTAATGGAAATGTTCTAAAATGTCTTCAATCTGTATAATATCTTTTAAATATATTCTATATATAAAAGGCTTATAAATTATATTCTATCTTCACAAAGGTTTGCAGAACCATGAATGGCAAATTTGTACATAAGAGGGTGGTTCGGAAAGTTCTTAGCCTAGCACAAAAACCGCGGGACGAACAAAAAAGTTAAGTGTTTAGAAAAATTCCATCTCTGCCCTCGCACATACAAGTGTAACTCCTTTATAGATAGCAGAATACCTTCAAATGCCTTATATCTATTGAATACCTATGAAAGGTCAGGCGTTAATAAAATTTATATATGTAAAATTTCCTTCAAATGATGTCCATCTATGCAATTCTTCCTTCTATTATAAAAATCCACTTTGAGACCTTATATATTTTGAAGACCTAAGACATAATCTATTCAGCGAAGTCATCGCAAGCTACCTCTATCTATAGAAGCCCTCTAAATAAGACTGGAAATCTTAAGGACCTTCTGCAGACATGACATATTTTTATAGGCGAACTCATAAAGGAATTCTGCATAAGTGTCCCATTGAAATCTCTTTTATATATGAAAGTTTTATCTATGGTCTTTAAAATATAAAATAGCCTCCTATCTTCCAAAGTGTTTAAGGTTTGTTAAGGAGCGTTTTAACATTTTCTACGTCGGTATCTTATGAGCCTTTTGCAGACAATAGAAATTTTGAGTGACTTCTCTCTTTAGATGGACTATCAAAGTTTTTCCCCCAGGTGTCCTTTGAATTCTCTTTTATATATGAAAGGACTACAATAGTATTTCTTCTATAAAATAACGCTTAATAACCTCCTTTTAAGACCTTCTGTCTATTAAGGATTGTCTTACAGCTCTTCTACATATAGGTCTACATATTGAAGGACTTCAATTTAAAGGAGACTTTTAAAAGGATATTCTATTGAAAGAATGCCACCTTGTATTTACAGGAAGAATCTTAAGTGCCTTCTCGACATTTACGGTACCTCGATATTCTTCTCTCTATGAAGATATCTGAAATGTCTTCTGTCTATTGAACTAACCTCAAAAATCATTCAAAATATAAAGACCTTCCCCCATCTATAAGCGAATGCTTTAATGGTTTGTACACAGGGAAAAGTCTTAACGAAGACCGAAAAAGGGATAGAGAGAATAAATCATAAAACCCCGACATATCTAGAAAATATTTTAAAAACAGTAAGGAAAGTAGTAAAGTCGGACTGGGTCGACTATATGATACCCTTCACCACTTTGGGTATATTCTACATATGTATCCTAACAGACGTCGCGTGTTTGTTATATATCTACATCTGAACCGATTTCAGGGAAACTTGCCAGAGACATCATTCTAGACTTAATTCAGTACCCTACACCAAAATTCGTGCAAATCGAAAGATATATAAGGACTTTGGTGCACCAATTACATAAAATCGGACGAAAATATATATGAGAGCTAGATCTAAATCTGAACCTATTTTCACGAAACTTAGCATACGTCATTCTAGACTTAATTCAGTACACTATGACAAATTTCGTGCAAATCGAAATATATATAAGGACTTTGGTACACCATTTACCTTAAATCGGACGAAAATATATATGGGAACTATATCTAAATCTGAACCGATTTTTCCCAATTTCAATAGGGTTCGTCCTTGGGCCAAACAAATGAGCTGTGCCAAATTTCATCCAATTCGGATCATAAATGTGACCTGATATTTGTTTACATGCATAAATCGTCTCAGAAAGTGATTCTATGCATATTCTCAGAAGGAACCATGGGTCTATCTCGGTTATTTTTGCCTGTAACAAACATATGTACAAAGACACCACACTGTGGTACAGGGTATTAGAAGGGTATAAAAATCCCCTTTATTAGGCCTGTGAAAAATATTCAAAAATTCTATAGCAGCTCATCTCAAATGTTTTCTGTCCATTGAAGAGTCCTCAAAAATCATTCGAAATCATGAAGGCCTTGATTTTTATGGGCAAACTCTTCAATGTTTTGTATACAGTTAAAGTTTGAAATATGGTGTTATTATGCCTCAAAAAATAATTTAATAACATTCCCGGAAAAAATATGAAAAAAAGCCTATTACCCGACAAAGACTAAAAACATATTAAAAATTCCCACTTATGACCTGGAAAAGATGTATATAAAATCGATTACTATTATGACCGTATTTATACCTGGAAAAATATATATGTAATCTTCTGGGTGTGTAAAAAATGGTCCTATGGAAGCCGAAATAGAAACATTGCTTATATTTTATTTAGAGCTCCGAAAATTGTTTTAAAAAATTAAAAATGAATTTAAATCATATAGATTTAATATAGCAACACCCGTAATAACAGCTACACATATGTGTCCGCCAATTGCGTTTTTAATGGACTTCATATGTTTATTTGTCTTCAGAATGCCTTGGATATGAAGGGTACTTTTTACATGTATACCATTCAAATATCTATAAAGTATAAATAACAAATGTTTTCTTATCCAATCATTTCACTTCAAAAAATTCTGACTAAACGTGATTTTTTTGCAAGAAATACATTTCCAAATTGAAGCCATAGTTTTTCAATATCCAACAAAAATATACCCCAATTAACTAAGAATAAATTATGCGTACCACCACTCATTAAAAATTAATATTGAACAATTGATTCATTACATATAACTAACGCCAAAAGATTTATTGGTAGCCACTAAAACTAAATTTAACCATTTATTGTTCTAATATAATACCTTAATGCAATGTATTGAGTAACTAATGAAGTAATGGGATGGGAGGAAGCATGAGGAAAATGAAAAAAAATATATAACAGATAGTTGGCTTTCCCTCTACCCCAATACCAAGAACTAGGAATAGCCAACTTTCCTATATAGAACTAATAACCAACCCCTAACCAAATACACAAGCTGTCCATCTCTGTCCGTATATCTTCTTCATAGAAAGTCCATCCTTGGCAAATTGATTGTAGAGTTCATTGTTTAACTTCTCATACTTTTTGTTGCTGTTTTTTTTTCTTTGATTTATTGCTATTTCATACCTTGCCAGGCAGAGAATGTGATGAGCTTAATTAAATTAAT